GAATATCGTTCCACAGGTTAGTACACAAATATGTAAACAAAGTAATGGCCCGTACTTCAGAGAATAAATTAATACTATTTGACTGTATTAATTTATCTTTATATATAATATATCGTGTTTTTAGTGTTTACCGCTGGATAAATAAATCATAGTTTATTAAAAATGTATTGCACTTTTTTAGATTATGATTAAATCTTCTGAATAACTAGTCATATTTGTATAGTAGTTTTATTATTATTGAGTCTGGCCCTGATGTCACCGCCATATTGGTATTATAGTTAGCCACTCCTACCTATGCCGTTTTTAATACATATGCTCATAGCTTCTCCATAGATTCTAACTCGATGGTAAAAATCTATGTATGTCAAAATGTCTGAATTGTCAATACGAATGAGTCAGATAAAATTAAATTATTAGAAGAATTTTTTCTACACATAAAAGTACACGTTTATGATCTTCTTTTTATTAATAATTCATATCCAGTGGGTTTAGATTTCACTGAAACTCATAGAAAACAAGATAATAGGAAAATATCTCATAATAATGTAGCGTGAAGCTGATATTAAAAGTGTAAGCAATAAAAAATTACACATTTTAGCGACAAATTGATGTTTGTCGCAAGAATTGCTTTTGAAGAGTAGAAAAATAATTTCTACCACGATATTGCTCAAAGGAATAACGAATTTTTATTTTGATATACGGTTTTCCATTCGAGGATTATTTGATATTTTATTGAAACAGTTGTAAATTGAAAGATAAAGTTTTTTATAATGTTGAAAGGGGGATTAGATTAAAGTTTAGATAAAAAAAGATTAGTTCTAATGTACTTGTACTAATTTGTATTTACATTGCATGGTTACATGATGTGTTTGGTTTTAGACAAGGTTAGAAAGGATAGGCATAAAAAATATAGGTTGAAGCAGTTCTGGTAAAATTGGCGCAATATGTTAATACCTACACCAGAATTTAGAATTGTTTATTTGAAACCAAAGTTGCCAATTTTGCCGAATGTATTCCAAGCAATTATTTAACGGAAAATAGAAATGTTTTGGCGACACAACATGTTCACGCTAATTCACTCTAATACAGAGGTTTTCAAAGTGGCTAACGCAGCACCCTGGGGTGCCTCAAGCTTACCAAGGGTAACGTGGAACATTTTTTTACAACAATGAACACCTTTTTTAAGAAGAAACAGAATAGTAAATGGACGTGGGCTAGTCCAGGCGGAAGAACTCAGAGCAAATATGATTATATAATAACAGACAAAAACCAAATTATTCAAGATGTCACTGTACTCAATAAACTATCAGTAGGAAGCGACCACAGACCAGTAAGAGCTAGAATAACGATAAACCTACAAAAAGAAAGAGCAGAGATGATAAACAGTTGCAAACGCATAGTTTGGAATTCACCAAATCAGCCAGAAGCAACATAAAAAAATATAGCTGAAACTTTACAGAGTAATAATCCCAAACCTTTAAGTATCGACGAGTACAATAAATTAATAACAGACTCGGTTAGAAACGCACAACTCAAATTTTGCAAAAAAAAATGACACCAAAAGTGCAAAGATTAGCAAAGATACAAAAGCTTTCATGGAAATACGACGAAACCTAAGCGAGAACGAAAAGGGAAACTAAGAAGAATATAGAGAACCAAAGAAAAGAATTTCAGCGGAAATTAGAAAAGATGTAAGAAGATATAATACTAATGTAAGTACACAAACAGTCGAAGAGAATAAAGGTTTAAATATAATAAAAAGAAAAATCACCACAAAGTAAAAAAGAAATATACAAGCTGAGAGATAAAGACAAAAAGGCAACAACAGATAAACAAAACATTCTGAAAAATGACCAGAGAGTTTTATAAAGACCTCCTCCAAATTAGAAAATTATAGACCCATCAGCCTCTTGACACATATGTGCAAACTCATTATGAAAATCTTAACAAAGATACTAACACCTAAACTCGATTTCTATAAGCCCAAAGAACAGGCAGGCTTCAGTGCAGGATATGGCACAAATGACCATTTGCATACCATAAAGATCTTAATAGAAAGTGCATCGAGTACAACATACCACTGGTTCTTGCATTTGTCGATTTCGAGAAGGCTTTTGATTCTGTAGAGTTTGAAACAATACTGGAAGCCCTAAATCAAAGCCGAATAGATTACAGGTACACGACACTAATCAAAAACATCTACGAGAACGCTACATCAAGTATTAGACTACACGAAGATACAGAAAAATTCAGCTTAGGTCTAGGAGTTAGACAAGGAGACAATATTTCATCAAAATTGTTCATGGCAGCTCTAGAGTCAATATTTAAGAATTGACAAAAGAACAAAGCAGAGACAATCAAACAAATGAAATACAGAGGCAAATAGGCCTGACATGGGCAGCATTTGGCAAATTAAGGCATATTCTAAAAAGTTCAAATCTCCCATGTGTCCTAGGAAAAACTCTTTTATGTAGTTGGTCCATTCTTCCTATTTTTCGTTTAAGTCCAGAATAAACCTTTACAGTTTCTCATAAAGTGATGGGTTCTTTTCCTCTGAGTATAGGTAATTTCTTTAAATTTTTTGTGTATATTAAACTCATTATGTTTTCTTTGTAGTGCTTCCATCTCACGACATCTCTGTTCCATCCAGGCCCCGTTTGCTCGCTTAAAATCGTATTTTATTTGTCGATATATTTCTCTATATCGAGTCTCATCTTTATTTTTGCAATTTCTTCTTTGCTAAATAAGGTCTAGTATGTAATTGGTCATCCAATCCTTTTTCTTTACTGGATCTTTTTTGATTTCAGAACTTAGTTTGCTATGGTAACCATGGCGGAATTCATTATATCTATATTTTGTCCGATATTTTCTTGTTCAGATCTTTCTATTTATTTTTTAAATTCATGATTTATATTTCCGAACTCATCTGCTATTACGACATTTCTTAGGAGTAGATTATTATGTTTTTTTTTCTGAGCTGTCGGAGTTTTTATTATTTTTAATTTTAGTTTGAATCCAGCACAGAGCAGATTATGATTAGTTACAACATAATATACAGTGGCATATAATATACAAACTTGTGCGTTATAAAACCGACTTTATTCCTTTCCAACAGCCGTTTGTCAATTTCAACACAGCACTCCAGACCGTTAAATTCTGTAAGAGTCGGCTATCCTCTCCCACCAGTCTTCTAATTAGCAATAAAACGTGATTTACATTTATTTCGGCAAAGAAAGTACACTCTTAAGCTCCCACGAATTAGATATGTCAGAACGTATCGTTCCACCTGAGCCGTGAATTAGGACAAAAATGTTGAAGGCCAAAGAGATTACCACCGAAGGGTTGCAAATGAGTATTCTGTCGAAGCGGAAAATTTAAGCTCGACAAATTACCGGGTGTATTTAATGTGTACGACTCGAACTGATTGTTTCAGTGGATCTAAATATGCTAGTATTATGGTTTAGACAGAAGATTAAAATGAATGAATTTAATTCGTTGATTTCTGAATGCTAACAAAGTATTTTTATCAAGTAAACTGTCATAAACATCTAAAAATACAGTTGATCGTTTTATATATATACAGGGTGGTGAATCGTCAAACGGGCCATAGGAAACTCAATGAGAAATTCTAAATTGTTGAATTCCTGCTTCCCTAATTATTTTACACCAAAAGTCATGGGAAACTATTTGTAGAGGACTCAAATATGTATCGAAAACAATTGTTAAAATTGTTCTCACGACTTAAACGTATTCCAAAATTTTGCTAAAATATAATACATTTTTCAGGCCACCCCTAAAAGTCAAGCCAGACGCCGTGAAAAGAATGTGTATTACGTGTTGCGTTTTGTCATATTGACGTTTATAATATTTGACAATTTTTAAATAAAGTATATTATATTTTTATCTATGATTTAAATGGCCAAAATTTTGTGATTTATTATTTAAAAAACAAATTAAGTTGATTAAAAAATGTAGTCAGTTAAGGAGAAAAGAGCATTAATAAAAATGTTTTATTATAACATTTGTTATAGTTTTATGTTTAAAAATTATCGTATATTATTATTAGGAATAAAGATCACAGTAACAGTATATTGGAATTCATTGAATTGTTGTATAACTTAACATGGAATTAAATTTTAAAATTAATAATTAATATTATTTTATTGCAGATTTGATGTGTCCGCCGTTTTGGGACTCGATCATATGTTGGCCCTACACACCAGCTGGAGAAAAAGCTGTTATACCTTGCCCATCATACTTCGCTGGATTCAGAGAGGTAAGTACAGGGGTACAAGGGTATTGGGTAGACACTTTTTTACGTTTCCAGTAGAGAATAGGTCTACTTAAGCCTATACTTAGCCTATAGGCCTAGAAGCGACCCTGTCCAGGCGAGCCATGCTTTCCTCTTAACTCCTTACTGAGAGAATCCTTTATCATTCCAAAATCTAGTTACTTTTTTTCTATCCCTCCTTGATGAAGGGCAGCAGCGATCATCAGTACCTACCAGATCAAGGTATAGAGCAAAGCATCCTGGATCGCCTTGAAACTGGACTACCATAAGCATAACTGAAGCATTTTAAATGTTTGTAAATACCAGAGAATTCAGCATTCAATGGATCAAAAAATGTGTTTAAATCAACAGGCTTAAGTTGAATATGTTTAGAACCATAGACACCTCTATGTAGTCTACAATATGAAGAGACAAGTTAAAAATTCTCCAATTTTATTCTTTGCAAATTATCAGACTTTAATCAGTGTTCCGAAATACAAAAAATGTCATACTTATTATCTTTAAAAAATGCATTTAATTCATCTACCTTATTAGTAATACTTTGTACATTTAAATGAAACACACAGCATATTTCTTTAGTAATACATAGTTATTGTTTATGCATTGTGATTAAGTAAAAAATACAAGTACTATTATACTAAATGTTTTATTAAAAATAAATATGTACACATATTTAAACCTAAATTAACACCTATTTGTCTACAGTCTACTAATTGTCCTCTTCCATCTGTTCATCTTCATTCTGTTCTTCACATTCATCCTCGTCTTCATCTTCAACTTTGAATTTTTCAAAACCTTTGCCCCTAGTCCATTTGGCTTTCAATATGAGCTTAAAAGTAGCTATCCTATGATCCAACAATTCTAAAATTTTAGCTTGCTCAGGTGTCAAGACACTACCTGTCTTACAGACTTCAAAATCTTTGATCAATGTAACAATACCTAAAATATAAATGTGATTAATATCCCTGCTCAAGAAACTTTAAAATTTCAGACTATATAGTGGAATTATACTTCATAATGTCATTCAAGCTTTCTAATTACAGTGTGGAGAATTATTATGCTTAATTAAAATTACGAAGACAAAAATTATAATAACTGAGTTCTGTTTTGAATCAATTTTAAACAAATATGTTAATTATACCTTTGTCTAGTTTTGTAGGCATTCCAAGCTGCCTCAAATAAGGTTCAATGGCATGTGAGAACTGTTTCAAAGGACCTGCATCCAATTTAATAGTAGTTTTCGCTTTAAATCCTGATCTAGCATATTCACCCACAGAATAACTCTCAAACCATTCCTTCACTTCTTTTTTGGTACAGTCTGTGAATAGTAGTCCACATTGGCCTTTCAACACTTCTGATAACTGAAATATGATAAATGTTAGTAAAGATATTGTTGAAAACCTTGAAGAACTGTTTAAATACCTGAATGAAGCTAAGCAAAATTCAAAAGATGAGTGAACATCAAAGAAAAGAAAAATATTTATATAGAAATATAAAACAAACAAAACAATATAGGTTGTTTTAACAAATGCAAGAAAAGTTTATCACAATAGTCAGTAAAAAAGTAGAAGCATTCAAAATGTAGTTATACATAAGAACTAAGAGAAAAACATATAAGTATAAATTACTGAAGCGATTTCACGAAATTATCACACTAAATTTTCATTCAGACAGTATTATAAAAGCATAGTAAGCTTCTACCTTATGTAAATCATCTTCAACCTCTTCTTCTGGTGTCCTACCCAAGCCTATTGAAATAACTTTATTTTTGCCAAAGAAAAACTTGCTGGGTTTCCATTCCTGTCTCACAGCCTTCATTGTTTCGTTTCTCATGTTTTTATAGGTAAATACATAAATACTTTTAAATTTTCCAACTGATTCCCTGACATCTTCCACAATTTTTTGTTTCAAAGCTAGACCCTTCTTATCGGTCTTCGTTAAGGAAACTGGAAAAGAAAATATGGATTATTAGATACATTTTTGTATTGTATTGTAGATATTTTATACTCACTCTTTTTTATCCCTTTTTGATTTCGGCATGTTGCAAAAGTTTATAACACTACAGGCTTTTTAGGTTAATAAACACGTGTTGTCATGTCAATTTATGTTGCTGTCAAAATGTCAATTTTAAACTCTAATAGTAGTTCAAATGTACCGACCAAAATGCTTTTTCTTTGTGTCTTTTTATGAACAAATATTATATTTTACTTGATTTTTATATTTATTAAAACTACTATGAAAATTAATTTTATCGGTGTATTCGTGTTTAAATTCTGAATAACATCTGTGTTCTGGAACTGTGACTGGAAGTTCAAATGTACAGATTTAGAAAACGCAAGCGCAATAGGTACAAGTTTGAAATCAATGATGAAGGACAGGGTCGTATTTAAACTGTGGTGTCTGAACAGGATCGGATTTTTAACTATTTTTATTTAACTTCTGACTTATATGAAATGTATCCCATTAAAACAATAACATATTAAATTTCTTTTTTTACAAGTATTATTTGTATCTTTTTAGAATTATAATGCTACTAGAACTTGTACAGAAAATGGAACATGGTATGTAAATAGCAGCACACATGAACCATGGGGAGACTACACAGCCTGTTCGGAAGGAAGAATCGCAACTATTTTCACAAATATTACGTCTGAATCAGATCTCTGGAAAAGATATGAGACTTTAGTACCCATTCTTAAGATTGTCTCGCAAACTGGATATGCTGTGTCACTTCTATCACTGATTGCGGCGTTTATAATAATGCTATCAATTAAGTAAGTATATGGTCAAGTTTTTATATAGTGTATAGGTTTTTTGTGTTTTGTTTGGATCGTATTTTATGGATGTGGAATGTGGGGACTGAATCGTCAAAGTAGATTAAATCGTAACTTTTTCTTCCTATGCTATGCTACATAAATAATTTAATAATTATTTTTCTGCTTCAGCCTTAAGTAATCCAACTTTGGACATAGGCCTCCCCCAAATCAATCCAGTGTTTTCTATTTTGCGCCACTTGCTTCCAATTGTTTCTTCCAATCTTTTTAATGTCATCAGTTAATCTCATTTGAAATAACCATTTGAAACAATGGATTTCCGCGTCTTTCGTGATTTATCATGTCCCACTTCAATTTCAATTTTTCTATTATTTGAAATTTAAATTTATTTTATTTTCAGGAAACTGCATTGCGCTAGAAACATCCTTCACATGAACTTATTCGCCTCGTTCATCTTCAGAGCGCTTTTCCACATCTTAAAAGAAATACTGTTTGTGGAAGGGGTAGGATTGCAAATTGATTTTAGTGAGAAAAATGGCGATTTATATTTTAAAACTGATATTGAGGTAAAACAAAAATAGTTTAAATAACGTGTTGATATTGATGTAATTTTTTATGTTTTAGCAAAATAATTACCAGTGCAAATTACTGACGTCATTAGTACAATTTTTTACTACAGCCAATTATTCTTGGATCTTAATGGAAGGTCTATACTTGAACAATCTCATCTGGAGAGCACTCTTCGTTGATTCGAGTCGTAATTTAGTGTACTACATTTGTCTTGGATGGGGTAATATCTTAATTGATTATAAATTTGGTGAAGTGTCATAATAAAACGATTTTTAGGTTTGCCGATTTTTGTAATTATTCCTTGGATCATCGCTAGAATTTTTCTTGACGATACCATGTGCTGGACGACTAACGATAACGTTAAGGCATATCTTATTATTGTAATTCCCACAATAATAGCGGTTTTGGTAAGTTTCACCTAATAAATGGTCATAATTTAAAAAAAAACATTTAAAATTTTCAAGTTTTCATAAAATTGATTGATCTCAACAGTTTCACAGATACATAGCCGAAATGCATCCAAATGGTGGATCTGCTGACTTTACAGTGTAAGCTCAATATGTATTTGATCCCTACATGGATGACAAAAGTAAATTAACACGTTCAATGTCAATAATGTTAAAATGTTAAGAGTATCGGAAAAACCGGTACTAGTGTATTACTAATATGGACATTAAAACCAATAAAAATTATTATACTTATATATATTTTGAAGTATATATATGAGCCTCTTACAGCACAAGTGGTGTAACTCCATTTTCGATTAATTTTAGTTAAGGTCTAAATCGGATTCCGCAACAAGTATTTTATATTAGCACAAATGGTGTAAGTTATAAGTCATATATACTTCATCTAATTTACACACCGATGCACGTCATCGGCGTCATAGCCCGTGACGTCACATGATACCAACACGAAATATTAAGGTGGTAGGTGTGTTCTTTTTTAGTATCACTTTGCCGAGTACACTGACATTACAGCCACTAGACATATTTTATTATATACGCGTAGAGATAATATTTAAAGATTTCTATTACTGTTAACTTAAAGAAATACACAATAATATGTTTCATTTAATTTGTATAAATGCATTATAAAGCGTTTTTATGAAGAACATTTGTTCGGAACACACAGTAACTGTAATCGAACGAAGGTGAAATTTTGGCATAAATTGATAACACTTATTTGAAAGTTGCCGTGTTAACGCTTTTTGTACTTTATTATTTTGAATTTTAAAGTGAATACCTCGTTTTATATTTTTACCTATTTAATGAAATCTGTTCTTTTTAGCACAAAATTAGTGTGTTTTATTTCAGAAATGTCACGTAAGAATTTAAATAGTCTTGTAAAGAGATGGTAATACTTTTGCAATAATTATGTGATCTATTTGATTTAAAATGGAGGATTTTTTTATACTTTGGCAACTATGTCAACTTCGATCTCTGACGTAGATAATGACTTGCATCGGTATGTAAATTAGATGAAGTATACACTATTGTTCCTGCAACTGTTTTTGATTTCACACGTGTTTGTGTTTAAAGTTCAAAGCGAAGGTAAGGAACCTGTGGCAGAGCACGTTTATCGTAGCACTTTTAATAACAAGTTTAACTTCCATTTTCATGCACCTCACAAGGATACTTAAATAAGGATAATAAACTGAAACAATCACTAAAAGAACATGAAAAATCAAAACTTCGGCAAGCCCAAGAAGCTCGAGAATCAATGAAATTGGATACCGAAAAATCAGCTTCTAATAAATCCTATTATGCCTTTTCTTTTGACTGAGAAATATATTGATCTTTCCCACGTCTAACATGTCAAATGTCTTACTATAAACGTAATTTGTACGTCTACAATTTAGGTTGCCATGAGCTTTCCACAAAAAAGAGATTCATGTATTGTTGGGATGAAGTAACTGGATGGTTAGCAAGAAATTAGCGCTTGTTTAGTCAAACACGTAACAACACGAGCGTCAGAAGCAAAACATAATTATGTTTAGTGATACGTGTACCGTTCAAAACAGGAATTGGAAAATAGCCCTAACATTATTCAAACTGGTGTTAAGTGAAGACAACAATATTGAAATCATAGACCAAAAGTTTAGGCAAAGTGGTCATTCCCTTCTTCCCAATGATTGTGATTTTGCTTCTATCGAGAATTACAACAAAACGCAACTACATTTTTTTGTCCCACTGATTGGTACAGTATTATTGCCAAGGCAAAGAAGAAAAATCCTTTCCAGGTTACCGTTATGACGAATAATGATTTTTTGTCTGTAGACACATTGATGAAGTCAATCGCTAAAAGAAAGAATGACACGGAAAAACACGCAGTATCATGGTTAAAAATGGACAGCAAAAACCATAAAATTACTTTCTATAAAAAGGGTACTCTACAATCTGTGTAGCCTGATTGAAAGGACATGAATGGATTAGGTTTTTTAAATGAGCAAATTGAATTAAATATTGTTTTAAAAGTAGGTAACTTATTTACTAATTTAACTTTCAGATCAACTTTGCTCTGTTCATCATCATATCCATAGTACTATACACAAAACTGCGATCTCCAATCTGCGAAGATACCAAAAGGTACCAAAAATGGGCACGATCAACATTAGTGCTGGTTCCTCTTTTCGGAGTTCACTATGCCGTCTTGCTAATATTCTACTTCACAGGAAAAACGGATATTTGGCTCATCTGCGATTCTCTCTTTGGAAGCTTTCAGGTAAAATTTCTTTCTAAAGAAAAATTACTGTTTGTAAATTTTGAGGTGTGGCAACAGTGTAAAAATCTCAGATCTACCATCAGTAGCAAAGAGTTTTAGAAAAAATTAATATTTTTTCTCGATCTTTCTTCACTTTTGTCTGTACTAAAAAACAGTAAATCCCTTTGTTGTGATAAATATTTGTCGTATTTGCCTGCGTCAAAATTTAAGTAATAACTGATGTCTCAAAATATTTAAGTGTTACTTAATTTTTAGGGACTATTCGTAGCTATTTTGTACTGCTTCATGAACGGCGAGGTAAAAACAGAATTAAAACCACATATCTATAATTTCCTTAGCTATTTAGCAACTCATCCAGTGTTGGGAATATGCTTTCCGTGTAGAGCCAAGTTTTTAAGGTACGTAAAGTTTTCTTTTAGTATACGCCAATGTATTTTTATTTCAGACAAGGCGCGTCAACCATATTGACTAGAAAAGTTGCTATAAATTGGAAAAGTTGTGTATAGTATCAAAATAAACTTTATTATGATAACCAAATAGTAAGTGTTCTGAGAGGCGCTGTAGGAAGGTATTGTAGTAAGAAAATAAAAACGCATGAAGGAAAAAACGACATCGATGATGAAAAATTAAACCATTTACGCGGACAATATCGTGCCGATATCGGACAAAGAAATCCAAAAATCGCTCAGTAATCTTAAAAAGACCCAATGACTCTAACAACATCCAAATTTTAACATACTTTCCATCGAGCCAATATAATTTCTGAAACAAATGCAAAGATAATATAACTGAAGATATTTTGCGTTGAGTAAGTTCAATAACAGCAATAAGAACTTAAACTTTGCTCAGAGATACACAATGAAGTTTTCATATCTTTGAAAGATTTGTGAGTGATGAAGAATTGTTAGACAACTAACATACCGCTTATTCTGCGCTAAAATTGCCAAGCAGTGTACAATGTCGCACAAATG